GTAGAAAAATCAGGTAAGTAAATAAAATTTCTTCTCTATTAAACATGTTAATTATTATTTTTTTTTCTTATTCTTAACTTAATTTATGATATTTTTCACTAACAAATAAGAATAGAAAAATCAGGTTTAAATTAATAATAATAATAGTAATAATAATAATAATAATAATAATAATAATATAATAATAATAATAATAATAATAATAATAATAATAATAATAATATTTAACTTCTATTGAATTATAGTTTTATTATATTACGTAAAAAAGTCTTTTTTTTTACAAAATATTATGGTAAATGTTATTAAAAATATATTTTTATTCTATTTTAAAAAGTAAAATAGGTAGGAAAATATAATTTTAGATAATTAGATTCATAATTTTAATAATACTTAAAAAATAATTTTTCTTTGAGATCGGATGAAAGAAAGAATTAAAACATAAAATAATTAGATCCAACAAAAACTTATAAATTAATATAAGAAAATTTATCTGTATATTTTTAATAAAGTTGAAATAGTTTTTTTATCGAAAAATAAAATGAATCAGTCCTAAAAAACACTATAATAGAAAAAATAAAATAAAAATAGAAACAAATCAAAATATAACGAAATATATTTTAACTTTGATCACTTTAATTTGGTCTTCTAATTTCTGATTTTGTTGCGTGTAGAAGAAGACATTGACATGTTATATTTTCAAGGTAGCTCCTTTCAAAATTTTACTTACATATAAATGTAGAGAAGAAGTAGAAGATTAACACTAATGCAATTTGTTTTTAAAAAAGGGGATTGAAAAAATAAAACCTTAAGAAGAGAACAGTGACATTTAAAAGAACTTGTGAGATATTTGTGAAAGAAAGTAGAAAAAAAAAAGAGAAAAATAAGAGAAAGTGCAACAAAAGAGAATGATAAAGAATTGAAGGGTTCAAAGGAAATCGAAAGAGCATTTGGGTGACTAATAAATATATTTGAGTTTTCTTTTAATTAATTAATTAATTAATGTATTGAATCAAAATTTATCAGACTCATTATTATTGTTCAGTAAAATCAAATATCATTTATTATTATTATTATTATTATTATTATTATTATTATTATTATTATTATTATTATTATTATTATTATTATTATTATTATTATTATTATTATTATTATTATTATTATTATTATTATTTACAACATATAAACATTTTATATTTAATTTTGATTTGTAACATATTACTATTGTTTATTATTATTATTATTATTATTATTATTATTATTATTATTATTATTATTATTATTTATAACATATAAACATTTTATATTTATTTTTGATTTGTAACATATTACTATTGTTTATAGTCAAATTCTATTACTATCATATTTCATAATCTTTATATATATACGTGATATAAATTTGTACATCTAGTTTTATTTTATGTTGTATCTAATTATTTAGAAATTTTGCATATTATTTTAAAAGTTTCACCAATACTTTGAAATTTAACGCAAAAGAGGCAAGTTGTAAATTGAAAACAAATTTAATAAATTATGATAATATATAGTACAAACTAATTTATATCTAAGACTTATAACTTTTTTATACATAGAGTGCGTAGACTTATAACTAATTTATCTTCATGTTTTAAAGGTTAAATTTCAAGCATTTAATGAAATTGATATCACTTTTTATTATCAATTTTATATTATTTTTTGAGCATGAATGACTTTACCCTTCATCTTATTGTTGATTATTGATTATGTCAAATATATTATTGTCTTATTTGCATTCTATCAAATATAAAGGTATTATTTAAATTTGGAATCTAATTTTATCAACTTGAAAAGTATTTTGATATTTATGTAAATTAACAACAATCTTAAATTATTTAATTAATTTTAATTAACTATATTAAATTAGTTTTAATGGTTATTCATTTTATAGAACCTATCGTAAAATATAAGAATCATTTAAATCTAATTTTATTATAGAAGTTATGTAATTAATTTCTCAACTACTACTTTTAAATGAAAAATTAGAATTTATTTCTCAACTACTAATATATATATATATATATATATATATATATATATATATATATATATATATATATATATATATATATATATATATATATATATATATATATATATATATATATTACATGATATGATGGTTACTTAAATGGACCATCTGATTAAAACTTTTATTCTAGATATAAGATTTGATAGGTTCGTATTCACGTGCTTAGAAATACAACTTTTTGTTGTAGAGAAACAAGTTCAACTTTTGTGTAAAAATAAACAAGTTTAAGTTCAAGTTAATAATTGATTTTTTTCTTACTTCACAAAAATAAAATATTAATTCTATTATTTTAGATAATAGTTATGCATATTATAAGCTTAATTATTGACTAAGCAACACAATTCATGTTATTTTAATTTTAATTTATTTAATATTAAAGATTTATGGGTAGACATGCAATTTTTTTAATCCAATATTTATAGTTTTTTAATTATAATTATAGAAATAAGTATCTACTTTAATAGTCCAACTTTATAAAGTTAAAATAAATTAAATTTGACCTAAAACAATAAATAAAATATTTAACACTAATAAATATTAATAAATAAATTAACTATTTGTTACTACTTACAAATATATAAACTTATCCTAACTAAATATGTTTCCTTAAATGTTTTTGTTTTTGAGAGTTTTGAATTGGTAGTCTCTTTCTTTTTCTTTTTCAATTTAAGAGAATCATCTAAAAAATACGGGTATTGTGCAGACGCATGAATTATTACAATTTTTATATAATTAAAAGAAATAAAGATAAATATATTTTAAATAACGTATGAATCTAAATATGAGAAAAATGTATTTATTTATATTATTAATATTTTTATTTTGAAATTATTGTTGATTTAAGATATAATATATTTTAAGAAAATATATGAAAAATGAGCTATATATTATTAATATAATCATTTCACTAATATATGTTATTAATGATAATTATTATTTTAATATTAATGAATAAATCTTATTTTTTTAAAATGAGAATAAGTGTTATTCATTAAAATATTTTTATAAATAATGTCAAAACAAAAATAATATTACATACAAAAAAATATACGGTACATACAAATATTTTTATATATGAAAAAATTATATTTATGATCCATATATAAATTAAAATATTTCTTTCTTTTAAAAATAATAAATTCTTTTAGGATATTTTTTTTTCTTTTTTACATACTTATTATATTTTTAAAATAAATGCGCATAACAAATTAGTACTTGTGCGAACACACATGTATAATGTAATTGTAATATTTAAAAAATTAATATTAAATAATGTAAAATTAAATCATATTAAATAAATATTTATTAAAATATTTTTAAAATTTATCAAAAAAATATATTTTATAGACTAATTTGATTAGATATAAGTACGAGGACAAAACGGGCTCGATAAGTCATGCATGTTCCTTAAATTTGTAAATTTTTTTAGGAAAATGAATCAAAATTTTAAGTCCATATTCTTTAATATGTTTAATAAGTAAGTCTGGCTTTGTCTTATATTTTTTCAAATTTTTGTCAGTTTAAATATTAATATAATATATTTTTATATTTTTATATTTAAAAAATGCAGTTTTCACAAATACAATCTATCATTTTTTTTATAGAGCAGAACAAGATTTTAAATCCGCACTTTTAATAATATCCACCAACTTTATTCTTCTTGAGTAAATTTTTGGATGACGAGAGAATAGAGGCGGCCTAATTTTTTTAGAGATTCTATTATATTTTAACAATAGAGTCCATAATAAAATAATGTATAAAAAATATTTAAATTATAAATAGATTTAAAAATAAGAAAATTAAAAAATTATTTAAAAATATTTTAATAACCGTAAATAGATTTAAAAATATTTTATATCACTCAAATTTCTCAATTTTTTAGATTTGCTGCTAGCTCATACAAGTAAAATCAATGGAATACACATAAGAAACTTTAATACTCTATTATAATAAATTATAAATTCATATATCATTTGAACTGATTTTACGCGCTAATCACGAATGTGTAATTAGTTTTGCGTTTGATGGTGTATTTTGGTCGAATTATTGCTTCTTTATTATGTATTTCGTTTATTTTTATCTGATTCTCATAATCGTAACTTGTTTGATAAAATCGATTGCATATTCATAATCAGCGCGAAAAACCAATTTAAATGATATATGAGTTTGCAATTTATTATAACAAAAATTTTAAAAAAGAAATCAAAGCATTAAAAAAACATAAAAGTTAATTTAATATTTTAAAATAACTTAAATAATTAAAATAGTAGTTTTGCCAATATTTTATTTCTAAAATTTTTGAAAGAGCTAAAATAATAGTAACAAATTGTAGTGTCTATGAGAGTGAAGGATGTCTAAAAACTACAATTACACTGCATTGTTAATATAATTATGAGTTTAATTGATGTATATTAATAATGTAAAATAAATTTAATAAAAATTTATTTATCTATCATATTATATTAGTTATTTAAAATTTATAATTTGATGTGGCTGCATCCGTCCATATAATTAAATTCTATAATTATTTATTCATAAAGTTAATAAATATAATTCCTCAAATGCCTAAATATCTCTTGTCTTCAGAGTAGCATATTCACCAAATTTGACTAGAATATTAAATGTATATTAAAGGAATTTATCAATAAAAGACAATAAGTATATATATATATATATATATATATATATATGCGCTTCTTTTACACATTCAAGACAAAACCCGCTATTTCACTCCCTTCCCAGAATTTCAGTTCATCACCAACAACTACAAGAAAAGAGTAAGCGCGTGACATCACTCTTCTCTCACCATCCTCTCAAAATCTCCGTTTTTCTTACAACATGCATCTACATTGCTACTTTTCTTCAAATTGAAGTTTCTTTTTCAATCTTTTTCTTCTTCTTTCGTTTATTGCAGGTGAAATTCTATAAAAAGATGGTTGTATCACACGTGTGTTCTTCTGTGGACGCAATTAGGGCATTTCTTGAACATTTTGTTGATCCAATGCTGCCAGAAAAACCTTCTATTCAAGACGATCCTCCTCTATCTCAACAACAGAAAATTGCAAACCAGGTTTTATTATTATTTTTTCATTCATTTTGTAACTTTTTGTTAAGACAATTCAAAGATTATTTGAAACTGATAAATTTGAGGTTCCTGTTTGATTACATGATTATGGTGTAGGTTCATTCTGTTGTGTTACTGTACAACTATTACCACAGAAAGCAGAATCCAGACCTATCATATGTAGGATTTAGGGAGTTTTGTAAGTTGATTGTTGATATGAGACCGGCTTTGTTGCCATATATGAAATTCACGGCAAAGCCTAATGAAACTGACCTCGTTGATGTGGAGGAGCAGTTGTCGTTAACTGAAAAAGCGATCACCAGTTCTTATGATATATGTACGATTTTAAACCCGTCGAGAAGTGTTCCTAACGTAGAGGGATGGCCAATTTCAAAAGTTGCGGTACTTTTAGTTGATAGTAAGGAGAACTGTTTCTTGCGTTTTTGTTCCACAACTGGTGGAGTGTGGTCGTTGATTGAAAAAGATGTGGATACCTCCGGTCAAATTTCTGAGGTTACAAGAGATGTCAAATCTACATACCAAAAGAGAAGAGTCATTAAGAAGCCCTCAAAAGATGGATTAAATGAAGGTAGGATTTTGGAAGTTGGATATTCGGCTGTTAAGGAAGCTGCGGGTAATTCTCATTCTTCTACAGAAAGATTGCAATAGCTATTGCATTGTTAGCAACTATAGTACTTTAGTTTTAATTTATTTGTAATTAGAATCATGTCATGGGGGTATTCTTCTGTGTAAGTTTTTATTTCATTTGTCCAATTTATTTAACCCAGTGAAGATGTCAACACGACTAGATGAAATATCATGATGTATACTTTTCTTATGTTTTCTATAAATTTTGAGGTTAATATCAGAACATACTTTGTTCTTCCATATTTTCTGTAGGGTAAATAGTTTTTCTCTATTAAATTGTCCTTGTAGCATATTGCATTTTCCGTTAATGTATCATTATTTCTTAATTTATGTTTTAACAGGCATTTTTTGATTCATAAAGGTCGAATATTTCTTATTTCCCTTACGAACAGGTGTCAATAGTATTGATATAATGCTTTTGAAAAGTTACACTGTGTATTCCCAGAGCAAAGAGAAGACAGCTTCACGATTTTATATAATGAAGTGCTCAAAGTTGATCAGTGAGGGGTTTGTTCAAGTTCCTATCATGGATTTAGTTAAAAGGTTCGTTATAATTAGTATGGTTTTGCTATAGGTTGATGACTCAGGTCTCAAGGGTGAATTGCATAGCTGCGCATAGTCATTTTATATCTGATTGTTAACAACATCTGTGTGTGATTCTGTATAACATTTTACATCTCATCTTTGGATAGCTTCCAAGGTCCTTTGGTGAAAAGAAGTTCTAGCAGTTGGAAGGTCACCCCAGTCGTCAAGCACTTCCACATGCTCCCTTATTCCGAAATAATCTCAGAATGGATTTCTAGGTTGGTACAACCTGCCTTTCCCTTTTTCTGATGCCCAGTTTAGGTTGCTTTACAGCAATGAATTCTGACCTCATAACTATAAGTCTCAAAAACATTACATAGATTTCCTCAAATCATTTCAAATTGAACCCGTAAAATCAAAGTAATGGAAAACATGAGCTCAAGAGCTCTAAAATAGGGGAACTGGAAAATAAAGCTCCTAACAAGAGATAGCTCTCCTAACCAACTCTAACAATATTTCTGAGTACCTCCCCTTATCCCCTTCCCTACCTCTTATAACAGAAATTACCTAAAATCAGGGAGTATCCTAACTAACTCTTATTTCACTTCTTCTACATCCTTCTAGAATGTCTAGGTGTTCTATCAATTTCTCATTTCCATTATATGTTTTCTTTTGCACCTCTTTCCATAACATAATGATGGCTTTTTGTGTCATATGTTCTTTGCAGCGAAACTTTCTCAAATAGTTTGCAAGATTCAAAGCCAGCAGAGAAACAACTCCTAACGCGTGGAGTGACAGAATCACGTGTAAGTAATGAGGACATGTCTTTTGGTCTTGATAACAAGACACGCAGTGACCCTGTTGAAGCTCTTAATCAGAAAGGGAACAATGGTTTCTGCTCAAATACACGGTGTAGTACTGTCAAAAAAGACCAGGATATGGACATGAACAACTCTTTAGTTTTTCGATCTAAAATTAAAGAAGAATGCCAGCAGCATATTGCAAATACTTTACAAGTTAGTGAAGATCAAAAGATAGAAAATCCATCAACACAACATCATTCAAATGAATGTACAAGCCCTAGCGAGGTTTGAAGTTTATTTTTTCTCCAACTACTATGGTAGATATGTTTTAAACACTTGTATTAAGTAAACTCTTACTAGTCGAGTCTATTGAGATTTCACTAGTCTGCATAAACTCTAGAGTTTTGACTATTTTCTTTGTTGTTGAGATAGCTTTTTCTTAAAAAACCAGTTTCAAGGTTTTACCAATATATATTATCTCTCATCCAGCTACATGACATTGGATTGGCAGGTTGAGAAGGTTGTTTCAACAAGGTTGCGCATTACTCAGAGTGGAATCAAAGATAATATTTCTGAATCCATAGAAAATTGTACTCTGATTGCAAATAATTCTGACGCAGATCCTGAGAAGGTCCAAATTTGCATAGATTCGAAGGGGAAGATGGAAGTAACAGTTGTGTGTCCTACTGTGGATGCAGTTAGGGCATTCCTTGAACAACTGGTTGATCCAATGCTGCAGGCAAAACCTTCTACTCGTGATGATGATCCTCCACTATCTCAACAGCAGAGAGTTGCAAAACAGGTTTTTTCATTCATCTTCACACTTTTGTTATTGTAATCTAAAGATTAACACTAGGTCATTATTTGGAGCTGGTTTGAGTTAGGCTTTTTTTTTGTTCAATACTTTTTTTATTCTTTCTTTGAAGTGTAGTTTAAAAATAATACTCTTAACCAATGAGTGCAACCAAAACCGTAGAGGCAATGACACCAGGGCACAATTAACTAGAAAGTAAACCAGTAGTAACAAATAAGAGACAAGAAGAAGATGATACCGAGAATTTACGCGGTTCAACCTTAGAGACCTACTCCGCAGGAGAGAGAACACATAATATTTTCTCTACGATGAGGAATAAGTAATACATGATCAAGTCCACACCATAGAGTTTTCCATTGGCCCCTTACAATATCCATGTTGAGAAAAGCTACAAGGATCCCCCAAGCCTTTTACCACTATATTTCACACAATCCCTTGATCTCTCAATCTCTCTACTTTTCTTTTCACAATGAAGAGAGTTTACATGAATGCCTCACATTTTGATTACCGAAAGATTACCTTCAGAGACCCCTATGTTATTTATAATCTGTGAAACAAGCTGAAACTGAAACATAATTCAGTTAGATCAGTTACGTATGGTCAATAACAGGTTTAATGAACTGTAACAGAATTTATAACAGACTCTCAGATGCTGTGGGGTCTGAATGCTACACGTTCCACTTGTATCAAATTTCTAGACACATCAAAATGGACTTGTATCAGATTTTTAGACACATCAAAATGGATGATTTGTTGAACATGATGGTTTAATAAAATAGATCAGATTTATTGCTTCCCTATTGTTACACTTCTGATATTTTTTGATATATTATAGTGACATTCCCCAGCAATATAAAAATCTCAACTCTTTAAACAATCTGTTGTTTGTCCTGCCTCATTAGATTTGACCTGCTATACCAAAGGAGGTAGGTTTAAGATAAAAAAAGATCTAAGGTATAATCCTATAAATTAAAACCTTGTCTCGAGAAAATGTTTTTTTTCCATATATATGGCAACGTAAATGGATGGTCTTATGATATTGATAATTTCTCTTTGTCAAGTCTTGTTTTGCGCTTTTATAGGCCTTTTCATGATATGATATCTCACTGTTAATTACTCGACCATGGGTTCCTTCATACCAGGTGCATTCGGTTGTGTTACTGTACAACTATTACCATAGAAAACAGCATCCAGAGCTAGCATTTGTGGCATTTAAGGAATTTTGCAAGTTGGCTGTGGATCTGAGCCCAGCTTTGTTAATATATATGAAATTCACTCAGAAGCCCAATGAAACTGACCTTGTTGATGTGGAACAGCAGCTGTCATTAACGGAAAGAGTGATCATGAGTTCGTGTGATATATGCACATCCCTAGATGCTTCAGAAAATATTCCAAATATAGAGGGATGGCCTGTTTCAAAAGTTGCCGTCCTTTTAGTTGACAGTAAGAAAGAGATTTGCTTCTTACTTTTTAGTTCTATTACTGATGGGGTATGGTCAGTGATTGAAAAAGACACGGATTCTTCCGATCAAAATTCGACAGTTACAAATGGAATCAAACACTCATGCAGAAAGAGAAGAGTCATTAAGAAGCCTACAAAACACGCGTTAAATGTTAATGAAGATGGATTTTTGCAAATTGGATATTCATCTGTAAAGGAAGTCACAGGTAATTATTCGCCTTCTACAGCAAGATTGATATAGCTATTCTTAGTAAGTATAGTACTATTGTTTTATTTTTTTCCGTAATTAGAATCACATATCAGGGGATATCCTGCGTTTTTCTATATTTTCGGGACATACCTTTTGTTCTTCCTTATTTTATGTATAATTAATAGTTTCTCTCTATTAAAATGTAGTTATAGCATATTGCATTTTTAGTTATTGTATCGTTTTCTCTTAAGTTATTGTAGCATTTTGAGGTTAATATCAGGACATACCTTTTGTTCTTCCTTATTTTACAGGTGTCAATAGTATTGATATTATGCTTTTGGGAAGTTACACGGTGTATTCCCAGAGCAAAGAGAAGACAGCTGCACGTTTTTATATAATGAAGTGCTCCCAGTCGAATGCTAAGGGGATTATTCATGTTCCTATAAAAGATTTAATTCAAAGGTTCGTTATCTATATGCTTTTGCTATTGGCTGATAACTCAAGTCTCAAGGGTGAATTGCATAGCCGTGACCTGTTTTCTCCTGAATACTCAAACATACTTTGTAACCCAAGAATCGTTTTCCTTTCTAAATCAAGCTATGATTTTTATAAGGAATCTGTGCATGTTGATTTACAAGTTTTCATTTTAATAGTCATTTTCATGAATTTCTTTAGATGGTACTTATTACCAGAATGTTAGAGTTTGATCATAAGGTTGCATCCGTTCTTGTTTTAGTGTTATTAGACAATAGGAGATCATAGAGAATGATGTGCACTGCACGCTGACCTACACAACCTTAATGATCTTTGCCCGACTGTTGTGAAACAGTAAATCTGATTGCTAACAAACTTTTTGTGTGCTTTTCCATAACATTTTATATCTCCCCTCTGTATAGCTTCCGGGGTCCTTTAGTCAAAAGGAGTTCTAGCAGTTGGACAGTCACCCCAGTTGTCGAGTATTTCCATATGCTTCCTTATTCTGAAATAATCTCAGAATGGTTTTCTAGGTTGGTGTGATTCTCCTTTCTCTTTTTCCGATGCTCAATTTAGATTGATATGGCTGTATTTTAACATTTTCTAAATTCCGAATTTCACTAGTTTGCTTTTTTAAATCACTTTTTCACTTAAGCTCATAAATATAAGAAACTAGGAATTAAAAAAATATGTAACTAGACCACAGTTATGAGCCTAATCTGTAATACACGAGAAAATGCTTGATGTGTGAGTTTACAGTAATAAATTCTGACCTCATGATTTGAAGTCTCAAAAACATAACATAGATTTCTTCAAATTAATTCTTATTTCCTTTTTTTTGTATTCTTTGGCACGTCTTTCTATAAGATAAGGATGACTATTTTGCGTAATATGTTCTTTATAGAGAAACATTCTCAAATAGTTTGCAAGATTCAAAGCTGGTAGACAAACAATTTCCGAAGCTTGAAGTGACAGAATTGTACGGAAGTAGTGAGGGCATATCTATTGGTCTTGATAACAAGCCATGCAATGATACTATCAAAGCTATTAATCGGAAAGAGAACAATGGTTGTGGTACAATTAAATGGTGTGAATCTGTCAAGGAAGCCAAGGATATGGATGTGGACAACTCTATAGTTTTTCCATCTAAAAATAAAGAAGAAAGCAAGCATATTGTCAAAACTTTACATGCTAGTAAAGTTCAAAAGGTTTTAAATCCATCTCTGCAACATCACTCAAATGATTCTATTGAAGCTCTTAATCAGAAAAAGAACAATGATTGCGGTACAATTAAACGGTGTGGTTCTGTCAAGGAAGCCAAGGATATGAACGTGGACAACTCTGTAGTTTTTCCATCTAAAAATAAAGAAGAATTGTATATTGTCAAAACCTTACATGCTAGTGAAGATCCAAAGATTTTTAATCCATCTGTGCAACATCACTCAAATGATACTACCGAAGCTCTTAATCAGAAAGAGAATATTGTGTTCGGAAAACAGCGTGGTTCTGTGAAGGAAGCCAAGGATATGGATGTGGACAACTCTATAGTTTTTCCGTCTAAAACTAAAGAAAGCAAGCATATTGTCGAAACTTTACATGCTAGTGAAGATCAAAAGGTTTTAAATCCATCTGTGCAACATCACTCAAATGATACTATTGAAGCTCTTAATCAGAAAAAGAACAATGGTTGCGGTGCAATTAAATGGTGTGGTTCTGTCAAGGAAGCCAAGGATATGGATGTGGACAACTCTACAGTTTTTCCATCTAAAAATAAAGAATTGTATATTGTCAAAACTTTGCATGCCAGAGAAGATCCCAAGATTTTTAATCCATCTGTGCAACATCACCCCAATGATACTATTGAAGCTCTTAATCAGAAAAAGAACAATGGTTGCGGTACAATTAAACGGCTTGGTTCTGTCAAGGAAGCCACAAATATGGATGTGGACAACTCTATAGATTTTCCAGCTAAACATAAAAAAAGCAAGCATATTGTCAAAACTTTACATGCTAGTGAAAATCAAAAGGTTTTAAATCCATCTGTGAAGCATCTCTCAAATGGATGTACAAGCCCTCTCAAGGTTTGAGGTTTATCTTTTCTTATACTATTTTACTTCTTCTGTCCCACAATTAGTGATCTAGTTGATCATTTCACACATATTAAGAAGAAAAAAAAATGAAAAAAAGATAATGATATTTTTATTAAAGTACCCCTTATCAAGTATTGAGAGTGATAAAAGTAATACTCCCTCCATCTCATAAAAAGTGTTATATTTAAGCAATACGTGGTTCTTAAAAAAATGATTAAATGAGTTGGTTTTAATGATAAAACTAATATTATTTACTAGAATACCCTTATTAATTGTAGTTAAAATAGTGATTGAATAAATTGAAAGCTAATAAATAGGGATATTGTAGTGTAAAAATAATAATAAATAATGAACAATTATTTTGAGAGAGAGAAAAAGTGTAAATATAACACTTTTTATGAGATAGAGAATATTTATTAGAGAATAAAATTGAAAAAAATGTATTAGAAATTGAAATGAGTAATTTATTTTGGACATTTTTTTATTCCAAATGAGTCATTTATTGTCAGAGGGAATAATTATTACTTCATGTATTGAGTACCCCTTAAACATTTTTTTATTCCAAATGTTTAAGGGGTACTCTATTATTACTTCATTAATAGAGTACCCGTTAAACATTTTTTTGTATTAAGTAAACTCTTACCGATCAAATCTATTGAGACTCCAAGAGTTTACTTACACTAAAGAGTTGACTATTTATTTTGTTGTTGAGATAGCTCTTATCTAGAGGCTATAGTTTTTCCACCTATCTCTTAACAAAGTTTCTCCTACCTCTTTTTTCCGTTTTAGGTGATAAAATTTTTTCTTTAAAATTAAAGCAATTTAAAAGCTTTTCCAATATATATATTGTTGGAAACAAAAAACTTATTAATTTTTCACTTTGCTAGGCCTCTTTACTTCTCTACTTTCCAGTTAGTTTAAATTCATTGTATAGAATATAGAAAAAAGTTCAATGTATTGTAGGAAGTAGTGCTAGCTTAAATACTCCCTTGTAAGTTACATCTTTCATTGGTTACCATGTATATAAATTATGCAAGGACGTTGTTTAGTGTTTAATTCAAGCACATTCAGAAAAATTGTCTCTCTTTTTCACACATGGCAATGGATTGGCAGGCGGCTAAGAAGGTTGTTTCAACCAGGACACACATCACTGAAGGTGGAATCAAAGATGCATCTGCTTTTGATAAGATTTGTGCCAACACCACTTTTGGAAATGAATCTGTAGAAAAGTGTACCCTGATTGAAAATAACTCCAACATAGATCTTGAGAAATTCCAAAATTTCATAGCTTCAAAGGGGAATATATTGTCAGAAACTGCCATCAAAGTTCTTATTCGAAAGAGGAATGCACTGGTAATAACCTCTTATTCTTATATTAAACAATAATGTTGGATTACAGTTCAAGTTTATGTGTTTCTTTGTGTTATATTTTTGAACTATTATTGTCATCATTTTGTATTTAGCCCTTTAAAATCGGATTCGGGCGAATTTCTGTTATGGACTCTTATATTTATCTAAGATTAAGTTTCTTTGAGCAGACTCTTCAGCAGCGAACGATAGAGGATTCGATTGCTGTGTGTAATATGAAAATTAAAAAATGGTTAATTGGTATGTTTTTCTTTACTGTCGTTTATCCTTGCTTTCTAATATTGCTTCTCTCCGATTTTCCTCTATTAGCAAGGGTTTTTCCTGTTTCATTCTCACTCTAAATTGCGTGTTTTCTTGACAAACGTAGGTGAAGAAGATGACATGGAATTAAAGATAGAATCCATTATAGATGGCTGTAATAGTACATGTTTAAGAAATCAAGGAAAGGCGTGTCAATATCTTGAGGGTCATCAATGCTTACTTCCATCTGTTAAGAGGAAAAGATTGGCAGAGGCTGTGCTCAGTTTTCAAACTCCTTGCCAGGCAAGACATGTTCTAATTAATATTTGTTTTAACCGTGCATGCATAGTTTGAAAGTTTATTGTGATTGGTACATTGATATGATTACATACTAATTTCATGAACTTAGAGAGTATTAAAACATGAGAATATGACCGCTTGCTAGTTTCACACATACTAATTTCCTTCGATCATGCAGGAACTGGATGATATATGTCACGTAAACAATTGGATCCTACCAACTTATAAATTATCTCAATCAGATGGTAAGACTGTTTTTTTATTTATTTTTTGAATTTGTTGTCATTTCGATTTATGTTATGTCAACGATGGTTTGGATATGTATGTTGATGAATTACCATTCATGTATATATGACTTGTATATTTACATTTTTGAAGGCAAATTTCAAGCTAATGTAAGAGTTAAAGGATTGGACTTTGAGAATTCATGTGACGGTTATCCATGTTCTTTTCCTCATGAAGCAAGAGATTCAGCTGCTGCTCAAATGTTGACCAACTTAAGAAGTATGGCAAAATCAGCCATATGATTGAATCCATTTAATTATAAAATTGAAATTGGAGTATTCATATGATTGATTTGTGAATAAATCTACAATAATTAGTGTAGTGGATCTCATTATTTAATTGCAACTAGGATTTCATATGGTGGGTCACCTATAGGGCACATTGCTAGATATGTAACATAGTTATGAACATTTGTTGTAATGAACATATGAAAACCATGATATTTATACAAAACCAGAGTTATTCAGATTGAAAGATACATTTATATAAAACCATAATATTTGTAGAATAATGAATTTAGATATGTTTTGAAAATAGTGGAAGTTTGAAAAAGTATGTGGTTAAACACACTAAACCTGTAAACATTGCGAAAAATCACAATTCATTTTGAAATTACTCTCACTTTCCAAAATTTACAAAATCACAACTCAGTTTCCCATTTTGCTTCATCTAAACCAAAAAATGATTCATATTATTTATTCAATAGCCACCTTCTGATTTTAAGTCCAGTCAGAAGTTATTCATTTCATTTCTTCTCAAAAGGATTAACATATTTGCATGTTAGTAAAGTTATTATCTTTTCAATTATTTAGAATAAATATAATATACTCCTTTCTTACGTCTCATAAAAAGTAATTTTTTTTATTAATGCACGGTTATTAAGTAAATAATTAGATATGTTATTTTCATAATAAAATTAATATTATTTATTAGAATATCTTTATTAATTATAATTAGATTAGTTGAATAAAGTGAAAGTTAATACACATGAATATAGTACTATATAAATAATAATAAATGTTATATTGAAATTGTAAAGAGACAAACATTTTAAGATTTAAAAAATATAAATTAGACAATTTTTATGAGCGATGAGAGTATATTATTTTATTTTAGGTTTGTTTTAATGAATATGTGAATAATATTATTCACATATAAATATTAGTGATTAAAGTTTTTATCTTTTTAAATAATTTATGATAAATCTTATGTCAAAAGAAAATTGTGATTAATATGATTAGGAGTGGTAAACGAGAATCTCCACCCATTGCTTTCTTTATTTAAAAAAAAAACATGTTAAAACATTTTACAACATGTTAAAACTCATAGAATTTGGAACTATAGGTTGGTGAAAAATGGAGCAATTAAATGCGGAAAGGGTGAGAGTGATTAGAGAGAATATAATTGAGGGTAAAAATTAGTATGAAGATTGATTGAGATAACTCTAGGGTATTTATACAAAATATAATTTATCAAGACACAAGTAACAAATTTCAAAAAATTGAAGTTAACTGTCTGTAACCGGTTATCCAAAACCTGTAACCGGTTGTAGCTGTTGGCAAACTTAAAAACATAACAATCATAACCGGTTACTACGAATCTGTAACCGATTACACCATCAATATAAGTAAATATACTACACCCTATAACCAGTATGTCCACGTAGTAACTGGTTACATCACTTGAATTAGTGAATTTTCACAACACACCACCTTAATTCAAGTGCTTCAAGTCTTACATGTCCATGTTCTTCTTCAATCTCTTGAACACTTCAATTGTGACTCCTTTGTCAACAAATCGACTATTTGGTCTTCGCTTCTACAATATTCCAATAGCATCCTTCCTTTAGGAATAAGTTCCACCTGGACGTCATGCGCTATGAAACGTTGATGGGCGTCAGGCTTCTGACGGAGAAACTGTCATGGTCTCCAGGTGGACTTGTCTGTCAGGTCGTCACCAGTGTGATGTGCAAAGTGCTTGGAAGGATGACGAGCGTCATTCTGGTGATAGGTTCTCCGTCATCAAGTCACAATGCATTTTCTAACATGCTGAGTTTGGACATGATGGTGGTTTTATTATGCGGTCAGTGGTTGGCTGTTGTTTGGTATTTTGTGATGAGTATGAGATAATTAATTAAACATATATAACTAATTGCATAATATTATGCATACATGTGGATCATGTGTAATTGTGAGTATGCGTAAATAATAGTGAAAGTAAGATTTGATGCAAATTTGTGTTGATGAAATGTGTATAAGTAATTATTGATGCAATACAAATATATTTTTGTTTGTGGCTAGAGAGGGGTTTTATTACATCAGTTGCGTTAAATAATTATGTATATTCAAAGTCGAGTTATATTGTATTTTGCATGAAATTCATCATATGTGTCATTGTTGTGAAATAGGCATATTCGCTAGTTCAAAGTAGAGACTACTGGCTTCTCTCAAGCCTTGAGTAGGAGCTTGGAGCTTAGAGTGGGGTCTTGGAGTTTGCTGAGATTGGGACCCGGTTCATATGAAGAACCAAATGTTGAGTCGGTACAATATGCATATAGAGTTGAGTTGTAAGTCTGGTTAAAAGTGGGGACCGTGACGAGCATGAGTCGAGTCATTGTTGCATTATATTGCATAATTATAATTGGATGATTCTGATATGGGTGAGATGTGAATACATGATGTTGGTTTGTCTTCTAATTGTGTGGATAATTGTCTAGATGTATGAATCTATCCTGAATGTTTATGCACCGCTTATTATTTGAATGTATTTTCACCGCTTTTCTGTGTTGTTGTGTATGTGCTCCTCTGTAGTACAGGTAATCAGGTACCTGAGTAGGAAGGAGCTTGAGGTTGAGGATGATGTTGTGCCTCTTTAGTTGTTTATCATTTGAGTTTATACTTGGAGTCGCTCTAATACATAACACAAAGGGAACAAGTTGTCCTATATTTGCTTTGTTGCGTATCTTTCTGTTTTGTTTTATTCTGCGATGAACTATTTTTCAAACTAACATTGAGGTTGAGGCTTTCATGCCAAATGTTGTTGTGATTTCGCTGCATATTCAACGAGTTGTTTTCCATTATTATGTGATTAGAAAAGTATGATGGTTTGGATTGTCGAGTAATATCCTACTTGGCGAATGATTCTGTTTTATACATGTTTTATTATTTAATTGTCGATTTATAGGTGTTACATAGTGGTATTAGAGTCGGTTGGTCCACCCGACCAAATTTTTGACAGGATAATTATTCCCTAGTATGCAACATGTGCGTGTAAATTTTCGATGCATTGTTTTTTCTAATGTTTGTTTGATGGTGTGCAAGAATGGCTGGAAGAAGCAATAGCGCTATTGCTGATGCTTTGGAGTCAGTGGCTCAAGCACTGCATGGAGAACAAAATCAGGCTGGTGATTAATTTCGTGGCTTAGGAAAATTTCAGAGAAATAATCCACCGATGTTCAAGGGTAGGTATGACCCGAAGGGTGCTCATGCATGGCTGAAAGAGATTTAAAATATTTTTTGAGTGATTGCCTGTACTAAGGAACAAAAGGTTTTGTTTGGTACTCGCATGCTGTCTGGGGAAGTCGAAGATTGGTGGGATAACGCATGACAGAAACTAAATGTTACTGGTACTAAGGTTACCTGGGCTATGTTTAAAGCGTAGTTTCTCGAGAAGTACTTCTCTGAGGATGTCATAGCAAGAAGGAGATTGAACTCCTTGAGCTGAAGCAAGGAAATTCAAAGGTTGCAGAGTATGCTGGCAAGTTTGAGGATCTAGTGAAGTTTTGTCTGCATTATAATAATGTTGTTGCTGAAGGATGTCATAGCAAGAAGGAGATTGAACTCCTTGAGCTGAAGCAAGGAAATTCAAAGGTTGCAGAGTATGCTGGCAAGTTTGAGGAGCTAGTGAAGTTTTGTCTGCATTATAATAGTGTTGTTACTGAGCGTTTGTTCGAATCATAGTTAAAAGGGGGGGGGGGGGGGGTGTTATCGTCTCCACAGGGATTGTTCTGATATCTGATGTTTTTCGTTCAATAGTTTACCTTTCTAAGAAAAAAGGTTTTCAAATTTTGTTTCATAAATTGTCACGATTTTTAGTAGCAAAGCTTATAAATTCTAAAGTGTTTGATTAGCAAAGTATATCAAAAGTAGTTTTCATCTACCCTAACTTATACCTATTCTTTCAATTTTTCATGTGAAGTCGAATCCGATAAATATCATCTCGTATTCTCTTAATACCGTCTATTTCTAGAGCAACATCGTGAGAAATACCATATTCATCACTACACGATCTCTTCATATAACAACCAATATAGTAAGCTTTAAGTTCAATACACAACAAATATCAACCATGGATCAATCTCTCCAATCTATAAATCGATAGATGAATAGTTTAGGTCAAGTTCCATAAAATATATATCTAGAGTTTTACAAAACAAGAATGGTAGCTTGATTTACAAGTAATGAGAGAAGATGAGTGATCATCCACGTCGAAAAATCAAACTCGAATGCGAATCCAACTTCTATTTGCAAAATATCACTCTTTGGTGAAGAAATGTTGAAGAAAAGAGTTTCTATGTCAAAATGGGGGTTATGATCCCCAAAAAGTGTGAAAAGTACTTATATAGTTGATAACGTGAAATCGTATATATATATATATATATATATATATATATATATATATATATATATATATATATATATATATATATATATATATATATATATATATATATATATATATATATATATATATATATTGACGTATAATTCAACTAATATTTGACTGGTTTCAATCCGATTTCGGGTTTTTCCATGTTATTTGTCTGATATTTTGCAGGTATTTGAAGATCATGTCCAAACAAAGCAATATGAAGAAAAGAAGCAATTACAGATGAAATATGGACAAAAACCAGATGAAAACAACATGAAAAACAGCAGATGCGGATTTTGCTGATGTGACGACCGTCACACATCCATGACGACCGTCACACGGGTGACGACCGTCACACACCATGACGACCGTCATGTAGGCAAAAACGCAGAACTTCAGTAAACGTGCAAAAACCAGTTCCAAGTCCCAAAATAATGGACCATTACTTCCTATTTTCTCTGACTCCAAGTCCACCTTCTGCAAGATATAACCGTTAGTATTTCACCTCTATAAAAGGAGAAGGAGGGGAGCTGAGAAAGGGAGCCGCATTCAGATAACGAAGTGCTGCCCAAATATTTTCCAGAGCAAATTT